TGCATTATTTTCCTGTCCCATTCAATCTGTCCAGTGAGCATCAAATTTTCGAAGCCTCTTTGTTTTGTTTTTTTTTGTATTATGTAATTAAGACATTTAGATATTGTTTCTGACGTTGTCGAAGTGTTCCTTTTTGTTTCTATTTCCAGTAAAACTTGGTTGTTGCTCACATATTCGGTTCATGGTATTCTTAGCATCCTGCTGTAGAACCCCATTTTTTTTGCTATAGATCTCTTCATCTGTGTGGAGATTGTTCAGCATTCACTGTTACAGCATAGTGATTTGTGATAATATTCTAGAAAAAGCCTGTCTGCCTTTTAAAAATTTGTTTTAAATAGAAATCACTATCTCTTTGGCAAATGATCTCAGCCAATCGTCAATCGGTCATCGTAAAAAGAAATCGCAAAACAGTTATTAAAAATTATTTCAGTGAAAGATGTGGAGTATGGAAACCCAACGTGCTTCCACTGTTCTCTGTAGCAAGTAGAACTACCTTGTCTAGCTGCTAACTTCACGTTCAACAAGTTTAAATATAAATGTATAATCTTTCATATATATATATATATAATGTTAATAATGTGTGTATATATATATATATATAGTAATAATGTATATATATACACACATTATTACTATTATATATAATAGTAATGTATATATATATATATATATAATAGTAATAATGTATACATATAATAGTAATAATATGTATATATAATAGTAATAATGTATATATAATAATAATAACGTATATATATATATATATATATATATATATATATATATATATATATATATATATATATTTGAATAAAAGACAGACCACGTTAAGATTCCATGTAATAAGCTATTTCACCATAACCCTTTAACAGGGTTCTGGATCATCAGACTTTACTTTCAAAAAGCTGAAATGAAAAATGAAAAGAAATTCACATGTTTTTTACGGACCTCATCAAGTATACGCAAAGTTAAAGAAGTGAGGAAGTGAGATGGGAGAGAGGATATGAGTGTGTCATATGTATCATTTTAGTTTCCTATTTTAACCCCAGTGTGTCGGCTGGATGTTGCTCAAATTTAACGCGTCTCGTCTCTAGATAAAAGGTGGCTAAGGGGTGAACGATAAGAACTACATTAAAGGAAGACGTTACAACAACCCCAATAAATTACACGACAGGTTTCATTCAAATTCTTAGACGTTGTCAGTTCGCGTTACTTTAACGTGCATATTTGGGAGGTTAAGGTTTGATAAATATCTAAATTTTAAAACAATCTACGAAGGAATTAATTTGAAATTCGGTGGAGTTTTGGGTATTTTCTATGAAACAGTCGATTGGAAAAATCCATAGACAGAACATTGAAAGGGCAATCCAATTTATATTTAGTAATTTTTTTTTCCCCTAAAACTTTTATCTTATAGCTTGTTAGGTTGACATTTATTCGTTTGATTTTTTTTCATTAAGTAAACTCGTGATTGTTTTTGATTTTTGTTCATTAAGTAAACTCGTGGTTGTTTTTATGTACCCAATTATCAACAGTTATTCCCATTTAAATAATTTTATTCTCCACAAAGGGGTAGTATCTTTCAATCTCAATTAAAGTACCAATCTAAACTTTCCCTTCGTGCTATTTAAAATTCACTTCCAATTGGAGAATATTAGAGGAGAAATTTGGAAGAGATGTCACTAGCAGAAAATTAGGCCCTTCTTTTACAATTTCTTATCTTCACATGTCTTAAACCCCTATTTGTAACCACATACCTATATCTTCTTATATGCCTATGAGTTCCTATATACACCTACACACACATTCACACGAAACGACATATGTATATTTCCATCTTTACACATATACACCTGCAGAGAAAACGCACATCCACATGTCTCCATACCTATCTCCATATATACTTATACTTACATATATACATATACACACAAGGACATCTGCATATCCCTATATATTCATACGCACATATATATATTTTTACACATCCATACGTATACACATACATACACACACACACCCATATATGCATACATACATACATACATATACATACACGCACATATGCATATGCATACGCAATATGCAGAATATCTACATACCCACATATGCGTTAATTTGCCCTTACATATATCTACCCACGTATTTGTTCCTATCCTCATGTCCACCCGTGCATCCACTTATGCCTGCGTTCGAAGACTATATCAGTATTTAATTACATTATCTATATCTTTACACGTATAATATTACCCGATATTTCATATTTATGGCAAAACATATAAGTACCTTTCTAAATGTACATCTCCACACTCACAAAAACAAAAAAAACAAAACAAAAAACAAAACTGGTATGCTTCTTTTTCCGTATAAAAACATATACATGTACATATCAACAGGTGTCTCAGTGTGCAAATACATTATCATAGTTGCATACATATAGTCATATGTTATCGTTCACGTGTGCATAGTAATATTTCTAAAAACAAAGGGAATATAAAACATTCAAAATTGCTGTTCCTATATGATTATTTCTTAGTTTTCTTAATTGCTGTTCCTATATGATTATTTCTTATATATATATTATATATATATATATATATATATATATATATATATAATGAAATGGACGAAGTCCGACAATTATTTTAAGACATTTTTATGTTTATACATTCTTTATAGATACAAATATTTAAGATAATGCTCTGTTTTATAATAAACAGTATTAGTAACATTTACCGGCCTGAATGTCCGAGAAATTTTCATAGACAAATGGAGGAAGACGAATATTTTCTATGAAACTTTCTCGGACATTCAAGCCGGTAAATGTTACTAATACTGTTTATTATAAAACAGAGCATTTACTTAAATATTTGTATCTATATAAAAGAATGTCTAATTATAAAAATGTCTTAAAATGTATACCCTCACACACAATATTTGGAAAAAAAAACATCTCTCCGTAAAAGCTAAGATGAAAAGTGTATTTCAGCATAAGTGAGATAATATAACAATTAACGTTAGAATTAACAGGTTAAGCTTGTGGGATAGTTTTAAAGGGTATTTTTAGAATTCTAATTAAACTAGAACATGCTAAACTGAACTGATATATTTTTCTCGTTGTAATTAACCTTAATTCAGATTACTTCTTGGTCGAATTTTACAAGAGTTCAATTCGCTATTCAGTTCTATATCTTAGACTTTCCTTATTTTTTTTTAAACGACGAAAACTACCTTGGGAGGATACAGTAAGAGTGATGTCAAGAGGAAACGTCATACGAGATACCTTTTTTTGGTATTTTTAAGAATCTCGTTCAGTGAAAAATGATTTTTTTAAGTACTCAGTAAATAAAGAAATATCTAAAACGTAACATTTCCAACATCAATACAGATAGTGAGCTGTTCTTTTTCATAAACATTTAATTTTTTGCTATTTGTACAAAGTACTATAGTTTTTAGAAAAATTCTCACCGTACTTATAATTGGAAAAATCCTTGCAAATATTAAGCTAGTAACAGGAAACTTTACAGGAATTAATGTGTGTGAGTGACAGGAAAAAAATAAGACTTTATATAACTTCATAAATTTCTAGCATTAACGATGTATACTTATATCATTATGATACACAGAAATATAAACAATCTCTTAATAGTTAAATTACTAAACATAGTCAATCACATGTGCAAGATAAACAAACACTTTTCTTGTGTTGTGTACCTAACAATATCTACATCCGTGGAAATAGAGAAGCTTACAGGACTGCCAATGAATACCTAAAAATAATATTTCAAATTTGAAAATCTCCTATACACAGTTCAAAGCAACTGTAAACTCATACACTCTACACAAGTATAAAATCTTATGGAACTACTACCCAAACAACAAACATTACAAAATTAAAGCCATCCTGTTTAATGACTATATAGTCTTACATTAATGGAGGTGCCCTCCAGGGCACTATAGCTGTATCCATGGCAAGGCATGTAACTAAATTCTGTGGTTCTACCAGCCCTGATATTTGACCCGCGATGCCATGTACGCAAGAATAAATAATCCTCATTCCCTTTGTAGTCCATTAAGCAGTTCCATTCAGATAGCTTCTTCCCAAAGCCGCCTTTGCGGAAGAGACTCCAGGCCAAGGACTTTTCCCGATCACTATAATCTTGGCCTCTTCAAGTCTAGGCTTAACCGTTCTCTCCCCTACATAATCTCATAAACTGCACTACCTACCTTTTATGCTCATGCTGCACCACACAGTAATTATCTACCTTAATTCACGTAAACATGAAACGAGGTATCAACAAATAGCGCAAGTGTTTTTGTTTTTTTTTTTTGTAAAATATTTGACATTTACTAATTGTAAAGTACATTATAATTCCCAAATCGAAGGCAACACAACCTGGAAACTGTGAATTTTACTTCTTTATATTTAAGCCATTAACCTCAGGCAAATCTTCCGCAAAGATTAATATTGTTACAGAATATTCATGTTACATGTTTGAAATGATCGATATATGAGATAGTTGCCTAAACTGAACAAAATGATTGAGGAAAACAAATTTCAACGGAATAAAATACTGCTAATATTTTAAGCGAAAGCAGGAAATGGAAAGAATGATTGAAATGTCTTCGGAAAAAAAAAAAGAATGAAAGAACACGAAACGCATATTAAACATTAAAAAATTAATAAAATAATTATAATTTAGAAATGCAATCTGAAAGGCTGTGAGAAATGACAAAGCAACCGGAAATTAGGGTAAGGAGCAGCCGGATATCCTGTTGGTTTCATTGAGACTAATGTTGAATGAACTGATAGCTGCCACATCTTTATGGCGTCCATTACGTCATGATGGTTAATGCTGATTACACGCCTGGCTAAAATTACGTAAGATGATTTTAATGGTACGATATGGTTATAATAGCAGTGAAGATGATAGAGTAATGATTATGAATGTCTGGGTCAAGAGTATTTGTAGTCATAGAGCTAAGTTAACAATTAACATTCACGAGAGAGAGACAGCGCGAGAGAGACTGTGTCTGGAGGGAAAATGAGGCTGAGAGAGCCTATGTCTGGAAAGATTGACAGAGAACGCCGATGTCTGGAGCGGATTGCAGAAAGACTGAGGGCCCGTGTCTGGAGTGCATGGCAGAAAGAGAGAACGCCGGTGTCTGGAGCCGAAGTAGGTGGTAGAGAGAGTGATAGAGCTTGTGTCTAAGGCGGAAGTGTGTTTCCCAGAAAGAGAGGGAGAGAGGGGGGAAAGTGCCTGTGTCTGAGGCGGGAAAGCGCGAGAACCTGTATTTCGCGGGAGAGGAGGGCGAGGGAGCCTGCGTCTGGAGAAACTGGCAGAGAGCGCCGGTATGTGGTATGGGCGGTAGAGAGCGAGAAAGTTCTTGTGTCTGGAGCAGCAATGGATTTTAAAGCGAGAGAAAAAGAACGCCTGTATTTTTTGTGGGATTGGGAAGTAGAAAGCGCGCGCACGCTCGCCTATGTCCGGAGCGGGAGTGGGTGGCAGAGGGCGCCTGTGTCTGAAGGGGGTGTGGGTTGTAGAGAAAGAGATCACCTGTGTCTGGAGCGGTAGTTGGCTGTAAAAGTAGAAAAAGAACGCTTATGTCTGGAGCGGGCGTGGGTGCTAGAGAGCGCCTGTGTCTGGAGCCGAAGTAGGTGATAGAGAGAGTAAGAGAGCGCATATATCTGAATCGTAAGTGGGTGGTAGAAGAGGCCAGTCTGGAATGGGTGGGAGAGAGAGAGAAAGAGAGAGAGATAGCGCTTGTCTCTGGTGCTTGAGTTAAAGAGCGCAAGTTTCTCTCTATGTCTGTCTCTATCACTAAGAAGGAAGGGTAGTTTGACCAGGCTTAGCTATAATAAATGAGGCCTGTCGGCCCCCGGATTTAACCGTTCTAACCCATCGGTGTTAAAAGAAATCTGAATCTATTGTAGAATCTGAAAATGGGTTTATAGCAGTCATTGTTTGTGTGGCTAGCGCTGTTACAGCATACTTGTACAGAGGTTGAATGGCGATAGCTCGAATGATTTACAGGCAACCGTATTACGAGATTCCGCAAAACATGAGAACAAATACTGGCATAATGTAACGACTTGTAATTTCATCCCCTGCATGAAAGGTCAATGAGGATGCTGCTGCTGTTATTATCATTATTATTATTATTATTATTGTTATAAAAACAGAGGAAGAAACAGACAGAAAAACAGAAGAAACAAAAATCGAAACAGATGAAAGAAACAACTGCTGCTCATCACAAGAAATTGAAACTGTTTATCTAATTCAGGTCAACAATCTATAGACACCGTACGCAAAGAAAACCCTTGGACACCATAGTTCTAGTCCTTTGCAAAATAAGAGTAAATGTAAAACGAATATAATATATAGACGCTAGAATAAATCAAACGTACTTTCAAACATGAATATGATGTTTAAAGATTAAATGGCTCTCCTTGAAATCCGGAAGAGATATCAAAATATGATCGAGGCACTGGATGTCCTTAGAGGGATTGAAACAAGACATGTAATTACCAGCAAGAATACTTAGTGTTAGAAAACTAGAGAGACTCAGTTTTTTTTTATATTTAACATTATCCAAATCTACCATTTTACTATTGAGGTGAAGACACAATGAGTACAATATATTAACAATTATTGACGACTTGAAATCATTTATTATGAACCGGAAATGAAGTGAAGATGTGGAAGATACCTGAACTTTAGTGCTGGTAAAAAATTAAAAAAAATAATATGGTTACTGTAGTCGACAGTTCTACCTATCACGAAAGGAGCACATGGAGCATTCCTGAAGAACTTAAGATAATAACTGTCTTATAATTTGAAAAGAGCTCGCAATTGATATAAAATCTAGATTCGGATAGTCAAAACAGAAAACTATACTAATGCACGTTGTACTATTCTAATGTAGTGCCTTAATAAACATAACAGGAGTAGCAGCCTTTAATAAATCTAGCAGCAGCTCTGGGGTATAAAAAAGCCAAGCCTTAAATAGCTCTCTTTCGGCTTTTCATCTTTTGCATGATGCGACATGAAGTTTTCACACTAAATCTAAAATAGCTGCGAACACGTCACAGTCAAATATGTTCATGAACATTTCGTTGTGTATGCAATTTACTTGTACGAGAAGAAACTCCTATTTGAAACTTTTCTTTTTTTGATTTTGTTTAATATAGGTTATCTAGCAGTAAATAAACTGGCCTGTTATTTTGTGCATGTACCCTTTTTAATCACCACTATTTCATGTACGCTAGAACACTAAACTATTAAGTGATGCTTATAATTTACTACTTGCAAAGATAATTGTTCTTTCTTTCTTTCTTTCTTTCTTTCTCTCTCTCTGTCTCTCTCTCTCTCTCTCTCTCTCTCTCTCTCTCTCTCTCTCTCGATATTTGGCTTTCTCTTTCTCTCTCTTTCGATGTTTGGATTTCTCTCTCTCTCTCTCTCGATGTTTGGCTTTCTCTTTCTCTCTCTCCCTCTCTCAGTTTGGTTTTCTCCTTCTCGATATTTGGCTTTCTCCCTCTCCCTATCTCTCTCACTCCCTCTCTCGGTTTCGCCTTTTTTGTCTTTTTGTCTCTTCCTCTATCTCCCTTTCTCTTTCTCTCTCTCGATGTCAATCCCTTTCGTTGCTTTCTCTATTTCTCTCTCTTTTTCGTCGCTTTCTGTCTCTCTCTTTCGTCGCTTTCTCTGTCTCTCCCTTTCGACGCTTTCTCTGTTTCTCTCCCTATGTCTCCCTTACGACGCTTTCTCTGTTTCTCTCTCTCTCTCTGTCTCCCTTTCGTCGCTTTCGCTGTCTCACTCTTTCTGTCTCCCTTTCGTCGCTTACTCTGTCTCTCTCTCGTCGCTTTCTCTGTTTCACTTTCTCTCCCTCTCGTCGCTTTCTCTGTATCTCTCTCTCTCGTCGCTTTCTCTGTATCTCTCTCTCCTCCTCGTCGCTTTCTCTGTCTGTCTCTCTCTCGTCGCTTTCTTTCTCTCTCGCAAGATTGTTTGGACAAAGAAAACCTGTAAAACATATAATGAAAGAAAATCAATCTGAAAATATCGTACAGTATTTCAATTTTTCAAAAACGAAGAACTGAATAGACTTTAACCAAAATTAATTTAGTCTATTCCATTAACGAAAGAATTTATTTCATGAATAGATTTTCTGCAATTTCATTTTCTCCTCCCGGCTTGCTTAATACGATTCGCATATGATGCTATTGTTTTTTGTTTTTGTTTTGTGTGTGTGTTTGCCGTTCCCGCCTCGATTGATCCGAAAAACTATCCGACCAACGTTTTGAAGAGTCGATGCTGCTGCAACATATACTATTAATGTTATTTTTTTTTGTCTTTTTAATAAAAGATTTTCAATTTTATTAACTCATCTTCAAAATGATTTGACAAAGAAAAATAAATGAATAAAATTGAAGGAAGTTTTCAGTCTAAAGTAAAATAAAGCTAAATCAAAGAGTAAATTAAAGAATAAAGTTAATTTTAAAAGTCGAATTTACTTAGGGATTCTACTCAATTCCCTGCACAGTAGAATAAGTTACATGGAAGTATCTAGTCTACAATTAAAATGATAAATAATAGAAAGTAATCAAACTTTGTGGGTTATTTAAAGCCGGAACTTTGGACTAATGTTTTGCTGATCGAATATTGCATTAAGTATTTCATCAGAATAACAATGAATATGTTCACAAAAACAAATGTTCGTATAGTATGTCTTCTCGACGGACTTATGCAAAATCTAGTGATGCTAACCTGAAAGAATTCGAAATTCGGCATAGTTTCATTATTGGTGGGCACAATCTTAACAAGATAAAATATGCAGACGAAACAAAGTAAACTATAGAAGCCATTAATGTTAAGTGAAATGAAAGGACTAAACTTTAAGTGTAAGATGACAATGTATGGTTGTCAGTAGAAGGAACAGACCAAAATTCTAACTAAAAATTGGAGATACCAAACTCAAGAAGGAAAATGTAAGTATCTAGATAGTGTTTTAACAGAATACACCGAAATCCAAGAGTGCATTGAAATTGCGAATGGTGCCATTCAAAACACACGCATAGTATTAAGAAAATCTTGAGAACAAAGAAAAGTGATAAAATGCTATGTAATGTTAGTATTGTTATATGACTGTGAATGCTGGGCAATTCACTCAAATGCAAAGTAGAATTGAAACATTAGAAGGACATTGATAATACCATGAATTGAACAGATGAATACCGATTATTGTTTTAAAGAAAATGGAAGCATACACTTGTAATAAAAAAGAAATAGATGAAATTTCTAGAACATATTTATAACGTGGGCTTGGAGAATTTGGCGCTCACAGGAAATATAGAATATCAGGAAGGCAACAAATATCCTACCTAAAAAAAAGCTTTTTAAATTGTTGGTAGAACAGCGATTTTCCTGAAAATTCTATGAATAGAAAATACGATCAACGTGGGAATTTTAAAGAAAATTGAAAGTATAAAAATATACATATTCTTAAAAATAAACCCATATATGAAAAGTTTTGGAAACCTAATGAGAAATGAGGCGTTGGAGAATTTAGAATTCACATGATATAAGTGCTGATGCAAATAGAATGTTCACCGAATATGCTTGTGAATAGGTGGCAGACTGGTGACAGATGTGTGGAAAAGAGTCAAGCATCGCTTAGAAATGCAAGGGACAGGAAGTTGTGGAGTATCTCGAATAGGCAGCTGCTGTATCTTAAACTCCAATGATGTTACAAAAATATGAATATAATGCGCCATGTTTTTTCATATTACAAACTATTATGATACATTCTTCTTAGCAAGTATTGAGAGATAAGAGATTTAGAATCTCATTCTAAAATCACGCCAGAATGAAGCTAATACTATCCCGATAGACATTTTCTTCGTATCTATAACTCCGTAAAATCCCTTGACAATATTGGCATAATTGGTGCTCCAGGCAAAGTGATAATTGATAGTTCATGGTTACTCCAAGAATATAATATTCTCTCTGAGTAATTTGGAAAGAATAGACTTCTAGGCACATTCTGTAAAGACAATAACATTTATTTCCAACTTTCGATTTCGTCAATGATTTTGATATTCGTAGCTAGAAATAAGACATTGATAATAGTCACAAAATAACAATTTTGGAAGAAATTCCAAATTATCCATTTAAGGTTTATTAACAGTAATATTTAAGGAAATTATCTAATAGCTTTGTCGTATTTAAAATGAATTCACATACAAATTTCCTTATACGAAATTCTGGTAAACGAAAATACTGAAAACCATTTTTTTTTCATGGCTGCCGCCTATATACAAAATATCATGTTTTGCGCAAAACATGGCCCTTGTTCAGTAATCAGCTTCTGCTGTTGTCCCTTACGTCAGTTAGGGAACAGTGAGCTTTATAACGCCCCAACGGATTTGTTTCAAACCACGCCACTCAGTCGAATCTTAATAATCCTACAAGCTAGACATTTTTCTATTACCAATATTTATTGTTATCTCAATTTGTTTATTCTTTGAAGACTGAAAATATTAATTTGGTTTGCTAATTCTTCTACGGATAATATTCAGCTTGTCTACAGGCTTTACCATTGCAAAAATCGAAAAATATCAGAGTTCGGAAAATTGTTTTTCAAATATTGTTTACAGAATTAAATATTGTCATCAATAAGACAAACTAACCCAGAAGCACACATATTTCCTTATGGTATAATCATAGAGATAAAGAATATGTAGGGGGAAAAAAGCATAATTAAGCCAGACGAACACAATGAAACGGATAGTGGTAGTGATATTTTTTCTCAATAAGATGAAAGTAAAGAAAATGGGTAAGTTAGTCTTCTGGTTTTGAGATAAATGCCAAATCTAAAGATAAAATAAATATGATTTGATGGATTCGTTTTCTACGGCTTATCAACTCTGCAGGCTATTTAAAGCCAGGAAATATTTTTAGATAGTAAGCATTTTAAAAAAGTGAGATAATAGTGGTTTAATTATACAAGTTTTACTAATTGAGAAGAAGTGGACTCTTACCTTTTCCAAGGGTATTTGTGCGTACGTGAATTTAACAACCCGAACTGGAATTGTAACCCGGCTGACCGATTAACAATTCTATTATCCATTATACACATCCCATCACACCATCTGGTATTCCCCAAGCAGCCATCCATATATGCACTGATCAGGCTCGACGCTGCTTAACTTCGATGATTGTACAGGAGCAATGATTCAACATGATGGGGCTGTAAACC